TCAGATGCTGGGTCATACAGAATTTCTATGTTCAGCTTTTTGAGAAAGTGCCAAACTGCCTTCCAGAACGGTTACACCATTTTACAATCCCACCAACAATGTATGAGTTCCTTTCTTGCCACATCTTCTCCAACATTTATTACTTGCTGCTCTGTTAAACTTTGCCATTGTTAATGGAGTGAGATGTTACCTCATTTTGGTTTTGATTTGCATCTCTCTTAATGCCAGTGATTTGGAGCATTTCTTCAGTTGTCTGTTTGCCATTCAAATATCTTTCTCTGTGGAAATTCTTGCCATGTTGTTTGCGCATTTTGTAATTGGTTTGTCAGTCTTTTGTGTGTGGAGGCCGAGGAGTAGTCTGTAAACTTTTGTTGTAAGACTCTTGTCTGAGATGATATTACCAAAAGTTTGTTCCCAGTCTGTAGGTTTTCTTTTCACTCTGTTGGGAAAAGTTTTTGATGCACACATGGATTTAATCTGTAGAAGGCTCCATGCATCAGTTTTATCCTCTTCAGATTGTGCATTTCTGGTTGTATATGGCAGTCTCTTTATATCTTGGAGTAGTGTGTCTAAGTTTGATCCCAGTTTGTCTCTTATGAACGTTACGGTTTTGGTCTTTACTCCAAGGTCTCTGATCCACCTTGAGTTGATTTTTATGTATTGGATAAGATGTGGATCCTGTTTCAGCTTTCTGCAGGTGGAAGTCCAGTTTTGCCAGCACCATTTATTGAAGAGGTTGTCATTTCCCCATTTGATATCTTTGATTTCCTTGTCGAATATTAGTTGACCATAGATTGCTGGGTCTGTTTCTGGGTTCCATTGGTCTTTGTGCCTGTCATTGTACCAGTACCATGCTGTTTTGGTTACTACTGCTGTGTAGTAGGTTTTGAGGTCAGGGAGTGATAGGCGTCAAACCTCATTTTTGTTTCTCAGAAGTGTTTTGCTTATTTGGTTATTCCTACATATCTGTTGTATTCGTAACGTAAATAAGTCGGAAGACTGTGTAACCTCCTTTTAGGGCATACACAGGAGAGCATAGAAGGAAGGGCAAAACCACAGATTTCTTCACTCAGTTATTTCTAAAAACTAGGAGGAAAAGCATACTACAGTTGAAGAAGGTGCTGATGGCTTAGTGGGTAAGGAGTTACACTGCCACTCAGCTGCTCCGTAGGAGAAAGATGGACAGCCTTGTCCTGGACAGTTTGTTGTTGTTGTTGTTGTTGTTGTTGTTGTGTACTGTCGAGTCAAAACCAACCTTCCGTTGGCTTTTCAGATGCTGTAAATCACATGGGAAAAGACTGCTCATCTTGCTCCTGAGGAGCCACTGATGGCTCACTTGCCTTTGGGTTGGCAGTGCAATTCCTTATTTGATACTTTGTTCTACTTTTAGACTAAATCACTACATTTTAAGCTCTTTAATCTTTTAATTAATTGAGCCAAGCAGTTTTCAAATAATTTTGAGGTTACAGGATGGAGAAACTAATTTTTTATCAAAATTTTTAATGTCTTATAGGAAGACTATGATAAATACGGAATTCGAATTAGAGTCAAATTCCGCAGTAATACACAGCTGCATGAATTAACTCCTCATCATCAGAGTGGTGGTGAAAGAAGTGTTTCTACCATGTTATACTTGATGGCACTTCAGGAGCTTAATAGATGTCCGTTCAGAGTAGTTGATGAAATCAACCAGGTACAGTCATTATTCTTTCACGTGGGTCTTACATATCATTTAATTGATATAAGTGTAATTATTATTATTGTTATTTTTAAGGGAATGGACCCAATCAATGAACGGAGAGTATTTGAAATGGTTGTAAATACTGCCTGTAAAGAAAACACATCTCAGTACTTCTTTATTACTCCAAAGGTAGGTAATGTTGTTGTTGTTGTTGTTGTAATGAGTAACCTAAAAGTGTTTCTGAAGTCCCCCGAGACTTAATCATGTGGTAAGTTTTGACCTAGTGTAACTACAAACAGGAACACTCCTAAGAAAGTGATTGTAAATGTTATAGTAGTAGTTACATTAATAAAGAAGACAAGTGCCGGTAGCATACTTTATCAGAAAACTCATTATCAGAACAAAAATTAATAGGCATAGAACTATCCTAGGCATATTCTAGAACTGAGATGTCCTTCCTACAGCTTGGAACTCACCCCTGTGCTAGGGCCACTTCTCTGACACACACGATGGGAATGGAACCAGTGGCCCTCTGGCCTCCACTTCCCCGGGAACGTCTCTTGTGGCCAGGAGATCTTCCCTCTGTCACCACTGCCCTGGCACAGGGGAGATTATCTCCTCCAGTGAACTGCCCTCTGCTGAGAGTGATAAACATGAAATGGTCTGTAGGAAGTATAGCCAGAAGCTAGAGTCATTGTAGTAAAACATTTCTCTTACTACAGTGTGATGCAATGAGTAAATTTCTAAAACTAAGGTACTAAAAGATGTGTGTATTGATGTAGTTGTTGTTGTTGCTGTGTGCCATCGAGTCACTTGCTACTCATAGTGACCCTGTGTACCTCCTCTGTCCTGTGCCAGTCTCACTATCTCCAACACACCTATCCCGATTACCCCAGTCACTGAATCAGTCCATCTCCTCAAGGGCCTTCCCTTGCTGCGCCTGCCCTCCACCCTCTCAAGCATGATGTCCCTCTCCAAGGACTGGTCTCTCCTCACAACCAAAGTATGTCAGACGAAGCCTCAGAATCCTTGCCTCCAAGGAGCCGCCCAGTTTAACCCTCTCCAGGATGAATCTGTTTGTTTTCTTAGCGGTCCATGGTACATTCAATACTCTTCTCCAGCACCACAGCTCAAAGTCATCAATTCTCCTTCTATCCTCCCTAGTCATTGTCCAACTCTCTGATGCATAACAAGTGATTGCAGAGACCATAGCCTGTATCAGACGCACCTTAGTCTCCAGTGAGACACCATTGCTCTTCAGTACTTTAGAGAGGTTCCTAACAGCAGATTTTCCCATCACAATACGTCTCCTAATTTCTTGGCTGCTGGTGCCAAGAGTGTTGATTGTGGAGCCAAGCAGGCTACAGCTGTGAATAATCTCAATCTTTTCACCATCCATCCTGATGCTGCCAGTTGCTCCAGTGGTGAGAATCTTTGTCTTCTTGACATTGAGCCTCAATCCATATTGGAGGCTGCAGTCCTTGACCCTATGCAGCAAGCGCTTCAGGTCCCCCTCAGTTTCAGCAAGCAGGGTTGTGTCATCTGCATAACGCAGATTGTTGATAGATCTTCCACCAATCCTGACGCCACACTTCTCCTCATAGAGCCCAGCCTCCTGGATGATCTGTTCTGCATGCAGGTTGAAAAGGTATGGAGACAGGACACATCCCTGGTTTATAGCCTTCCCAGTTTTGAACCATGGAGTGTTTCCTTGCTCTGTTCTGATGATTACCTCTTGGTCCAAGTATAGGTTTCCCATTAGCATGATTAAATGTTCTGGGATTCCCATTCTTCTCAGAGTTAGATGCAGTTTGTTATGATCCACACAGTCAAACACGCCTTTGCATAATCAATGAAGCACAGACAGACATTCCTCTGGTATTCCCTGCTTTCAGCCAAGATCCATCTAACATTAGCTTCCATATCCCTGGTACCATGATCCCTTCTAAACCCAGCCTGGACTTCTTGATGTAGTTAAATATTTTAAAAATTAAGTAGTCAAATAAAATTTCACTGAAGAGTCCATGCGTAGTATTGAATAGTGATAATCTGTGATACTTTTTTCAGTGGATACTCTAAGGAGAAATGTGGGGTCAAGATTGGTGGAAGATGTATCAACAATCTGCGATATGCAGATGATACAACCCTGCTTGCTGAAACTGAGGAGGACCTGAAACGCTTGCTGGAGAGGGTCAAGGACTACAGCCTCCAATATGGATTGAGGCTCAATGTCAAGACAAAGATTCTCACCACTGGTCCAATTAGCAGCATCAGGATGCGTGGTGAAGAGATTGAGATTGTTCACAGCTTCAGTTTGCTTGGCTCCACAGTCAACACTCTCGGCACCAGCAGCCAAGAAATTAGAAGACGTATTGCCGTGGGAAAGTCTGCTGTTAGGGACCTCTCCAAAGTACTGAAGAGCAAAGGTGTCTCTCTGGAGACTAAGGTGCGTCTGATACACGCCATGGTCTTTGCGATCACTTGTTATGCATCAGAGAGTTGGACAAGGAGGACTAAGGAGGATAGAAGGAGAATTGATGACTTTGAGCTGTGGTGCTGGAGAAGAGTATTGAGGGTACCATGGACTGCTAGGAAAACCAACAGATTCATCCTGGGAAGGGTCAAACCGGGCTGCTCCTTGGAGGCAAGAATTCTAAGGCTCCGTCTAACATACTTTGGACATGTTGCAAGGAGGGACAGGTCCTTGGAGAGGGACATCTTGCTTGGTAGGGTGGAGGAACAGCGCAGCAGGGGAAGGCCCCCTATGAGGTGGATTGATGCAGTGACTGGGGTAATCAGGATGGGTGTTTCGGAGACGGTGCGATTGGTACAGGACAGAGCAGAGTTTAGGGCTGTTGTGCATAGGGTCGCTATGAGTCGCAAGCGACTCGATGGTACATAACAACAATAACAACAACACTCTAAGGAATAGAATAGTAATTGTGTATTGCTGTTTCTAGCCTGTTGCTTACCAAACGCTTTGACCTATAAACCAAACCACTTTACTAAATTCAGGTTAACCATATTACAGAACTCTACCATATATATTACTTGAAAAGTATTTCGGTAAATGACTGAAATATCCTGGGAAAATTCTGGAATATCTGTTACTTTTCCAGAGTCTACTCAGAGTTATGTGATCCCACTTGACGCTTAGTCTCTAGGGGACCCAGGTGTATAGCGGAGGCCAGGCTTCAGGTATGCTAATTCAGGGAAGCATTGCAGTTTGGTGAAGTATAACATTCTTGAACGCTTCCTGTTTGATTGTATACATCAAAGCTGGAAAATGATGCATCTAGAAACCATTATATAACCATTTGGTTTTTAACACTTCACAGCTCCTTCAGAATCTTCCTTATTCTGAAAAGATGACTGTGCTGTTTGTCTACAATGGTCCTCATATGCTGGAACCAAACAGATGGAATCTAAAGGCTTTCCAGAGGCGGCGGCGGCGTATTACATTCACTCAGCCTTCTCAATAAAAGCAAAGTGGGAGGGGACTTTGGAATGCTGTTCTTAAGTACAGCTCAGCTGAATAAAAGCTAGGATTTTCATTAAAACGGAAAGATCAGTTATTTTTAACCTGCTTTTAAATACAAGTGGATTGATGAAATGGAGACTAGAGTAACTTTTTCCTGGATCTTCATCTGTCAGTAAAAATTAAATCCTCTTCAGTCATTACTGAACTTGAGTCCTTAGCACTTTGACCCATGAGTCGTTGGGTTCCCATGTTAAAGGTATTTACCATTACCATGAAGCAGTACAGTGGAAGGGGCGGTTGCCACAGAAGTTTAGTTGACACAGTAACCTTGAGCTTGAATCACCGAGTAACCTTTAATTACTTTCATACCCTCCAGGTGGCTCTAGATCCTAAGTCATGGTGTTATAGTTAATTTTTTAAAAATTGATATGGAAATTTCTAGTCATAAATGTGCAGAATAAAGTTAACTCATATCTTCCTATTAAACAATTACTCTATGTCCACCAAGAAGCAAGATTTTATGGGCCTTCTACAATATGGTTTTTTTTGAAATTTGATGTGTAAATTTATTGATGGTATTTTGATGGAAAAAGAAGCTCTGGGATTCAAAAAATGCTAACTTGGCATCATTGAATGCCACGAGGTGGTTGTAAGTGATAGAGAAGGCTGCAGGCAAAAGATTAGCAGAGAACTGAATCAGGTGACAAAGTTTTTAAAGAATACCCCTGTAACATGTGTGTATGTGTTTGTGTGTGTGTGTGTTTAATTTAAAGTCACTTGTATTTTACATCTTAAATTTCTAAAGCGTTTTTATAATTATTTTTAGTAAGATTTTTCTGGAGATTTTCATAAACTGATTTTTATGATTTATATTTGAAATTTCTCAGCGTTACATGTAAACAGCAAAGGGAAAGAATTAGTTTGTTTTAAAACATGATGTTTTTAGAATTTACAGGTTCCTTACAGTTTTGGTCTGCCCCATTATCTTAGAAAATCTAATTTCTTTTCTTTCCACATTAAAGAATTAGATGATAAAATAATTTGTTTCTAAGTTATATAATTAAGAGTGGCAAATTCTGGGTTTATTGTGTTTTTGGTTTTTTTTTTTTCAAAGTAAATCTTTTAAGATAATAGACTAGTCTAAGGACATGTCTCAACAGTGGATTGAATCTGTGCTGGTAATAACATGCATTTTTTTCTTTTCCATTCTGCATAAATTAAAGAATTGCACTCAGTTTGGGTCATATATGCTCTGAAATAGCCATTAAAATGTATATTCTCATTAGATTAAATAAAATAATGTACCTTACTTATCTTCTAAGACATTTTCTCCTTAGAAAACTTTTTTTCTCTAATAAATTTTAAATGAACCTTCCCCTCTTAATAAATCTAATGCACAAACTATACAAGTATTTTACAGTAATATTTTTACTGATAGGAATAGGTCATAAGAAAAACTGAGTAACATATTGCTAAATGGATGTTGTTACTAAATGATTTTTATTGTTAAACACTTCATTTACCACCAAAATATCTTTACTGATGCATGCACGGTGGTGAATTAGTTACTGCCCGTCCTCTTTTTTTCTCAAAAATGGCCGTCACTTTGAGTAAAAAGCTTGAAGATGAGGCATGTTTGGGAAAAAAATAGCCAACTCCATTTTTATTTACATATGAAAAAAAAAATGTTCCATACTATGTATTTCTATTTCTCTACACAACAGTTACTACTTGATTTTACATTGAATTTTGAGTTGTGAAGGCTAATTTCTGTATCATTTGAACATCTATGGGAAAAAATGTATGGCAGAAGTCTCAGTCACTAAAAACTTCATATCTTTTCTGCAAAAGTTAAGTTTTAATTACATGCAGGTATTAAGACTGCCCACTCAGAGCCGGACTTAATAAAAGGATAGTTAAAGCCTGAAGGTGACAAATTCTTGATGACTAAATCCTCACTGACCTATATTCGACAGTCTCTAATAAAAGAGGTTTTCATTACTTAAAGTAAAAGGAATTCTTACTGCTAATTGTTTTTTGGACATGTGCTTATTTTCTTTGGCATATGAACCTGCAGTATGTGAAAAATTTATACTTTTTGTCTGGCCTATTGTGTGTTGTACACTCACAAATGGGTATGTAACTTTAAAAAAAGTGCCCTGTGCTGGGAAATGCTACTTTGTTGGTAATAAATACATATTTTCATATTATTCGGGTGTATGTTATTTTAAATGAGAATGATTTGTATACTGTTAACCTTTTAAAAAGTCATTTTGGTGGTCACTGAGGTGAAGAGGGGGGAATGTGTTGAGCACCCAGTGTTTACAGAACAGTCAGGAGTTTCTCAGCATCAGGAGGACAAAATATGGTTGCTTGCCTGCCTGTAAGGAAACTTCTGTCTAAAGAGAATACACGCAGAAAAGGGTTTAAGCCAGATGGCTAGTATAATATTTTTTTAAGTCAGATCTACTTTATCACTTACTTTTAGACAGCTTTCTTAATTTGGTTTCCTTATTCATAAAGTGAGGATAACACAGTTGATTAAATGACGTCAAGAGCAATGCTAGGGTAGCCTAGTAGCAGACATTTAAATGTTTCCTTCTAGCTTCATATTTGAAATCTTAGCATAAGTAACATTCTGAATATTTAACACATGAAAAATTAAGAGTTATCTTTTAAGTAAATTTTAATGCAAAGTTTTTTTCTTTTCATGTTGTCAGTTTTTCAAAGGATATAGACACTAGGGGCTCATTGTTCATGTACCCTGTTTCCTTTCATGAAATATGAATATTATTCAATGAGATAAACTGCCCTAAAGATAGTTACACAGTCTTTCTCATTATTTTTGGTTAGTGAAAAACCTTACAGATAATACTGTTAGAACTCCTCTCATTACTTTTTTCATAAACATCATCTTTTTTCTGAAAAGTTAAATCAACAGAATCAGCAAATTTGAGCAATTTTACTTTGTTGACAATTTGTGCTTGGTTTTTCTTATTCCCAATGAATGTGTTAAGTGTGGAAGGTTTTGGTTTTGGTTTTGGTTTGTTTTTTTAATTTTAACCACCTGGCCAACTGACTGGAAGAGATCTATATTTGTTCCCATCCCAAGGAATGGTGACCCAACAGAGTGTGCAAACTATAGAATATCATTAATTTCACATGCAAGCAAGATTCTACTGAAGATTATCCAAAAACTACTGGAACAACACATCAGCAGAGAACTGCCAGAAGTCCAGGCTGGGTTTAGAAGGGGTCATGGTACTAGGGATATTGTAGCTAATGTTAGATGGATCTTAGCTGAAAGCAGGGAATACCAGAGGAATATCTATATGTGCTTCATTGACTATGCAAAGGCGTTTTTGACTGTGTGGATCATAACAAACTGTGGCTGACTCTGAGAAGAATGGGAATCCCAGAACACTTGATCGTGCTAATGAGAAACCTCTATGGGGAACAAGAGGCAGTCATCAGAACAGAGCAAGGAAACACTGCATGGTTCAAAATTTGGAAGGGCATACGCCAGGGATGTGTCCTGTCTCCATACCTTTTCAACCTGTATGCAGAACAGATCATCCGGGAGACTGGGCTCTATGAGAAGTGTGGCATCAGGATTAACAATTTGCGTTATGCAGATGACACAACACTGCTTGCTGAAACTCAGGAGGACCTCAAGCGCTTGCTCCTTGGAAGCAAGGCAGAGGGTCAAGGACTGCAGCCTCCAATATGGATTGAGGCTCAATGTCAAGAAGACAAAGATTCTCACCACTGGGCCAATTGGCAGCATCAGGATGGATGGTGAAGAGATTGAGATTGTTCACAGCTTCAGTTTGCTTGGCTCCACAGTCAACACTCTCGGCACCAGCAGCCAAGAAATTAGGAGACGTATTGTGATGGGAAAGTCTGCTGTTAGGGACCTCTCCAAAGTACTAAAGAGCAAAGGTGGTCTCTTTAGAGACTAAGGTGTGTCTGATACAGGCCATGGTCTTTGCGATCACTTGTTATGCCTCGGAGAGTTGGGCAATGACTAAGGAGGATAGAATTGATGCCTTTGAGCTGTGGTGCTGGAGAAGAGTATTGAGGGTACCATGGACTGCTAGGAAAACCAACAGGTTCATCCTGGAAAGGGTCAAACCGGGCTGCTCCTTGGAGGCAAGGATTCTAAGGCTCTGTCTAACATACTTTGGACATGTAGCAAGGAGGGACAGGTCCTTGAAGAAGAACATCATGCTTGTTGGGAGGGTGGAGGGATGGCGCAGAAGGGGAAGCCCTCCCCGCCCCCCATGAGGTGAATTGATGCAGTGATTGGGGTAATAGGGATGGGTGTATCAGAGACGGTGCAATTGGCACAGAACAGAGCAGAGTTTAGGGATATTGTATATAGGGTTGCTGTAAGTCACAAGTGACTCGACAGCACATAACAACATTAAGTTATTACAATTTGCTCATTGCTCAGAAAAACAATTGCTCATGATTGGCTGAAAATTGGTTCTTTTCAAACAAGCCAGTTCCATTAAAATCCAAAGAGAAAGAAGACAGGGTAGTCTGGCTGCTTCTGAAAACTGCCGAGAGGTCCTGGGGAAGCTGGCAGCGTCCTGAAAATAGCCGTGGCTCTGCTACCCGGGCCTCATCTGAGAAGCGGCACAAGTTGGCTATTATTAGGTCAGAAACACCTAAAAGGTGTTCTGTCTCCGTAGACTTTCATGACCCTACCTGCCTGGCTGCCTTTTGTTAGTAATCACTTTTGTGTATATTGCATTCAAGGTGGAGATTGAGGTGAAGAGACAACCAAGATAATAAGGGGTGGATTGAAAGAAGGCTGGTGTGTGTGAGTTGGTTGGGGAGAAGTTATCCATAAGTTAATCCCAAATATCTCAGTGACATACTCTTTACCTTTATAAGGCATCTGGCTTGCCAAGAACTAACACCACATAGGTCATTTCCTTTTCAGATGTGAATCATGGAAAGGGATCGTGCAGTTAAAGTTAGCACAGCTGTATTTAAGGTGATGGTGTCAACTGGATGTCATGATAGCCTGTTTATATACCTCTACATCAGCATTTTAATATCTGT